AGCGAGTCTCCTGCCTCAGCCTCCCAAGTAGCTGGGACCACAGGCGCCCACCACAATGCCTGGCTATTTTTTGGTTGCAGCTGTCATTGTTGTTTTGTCGGGCCCCGGGCTGGATTTGAACCCGCAACCTTAGGTGTATGTGGCTGGCACCTTAGCCACTTGAGCCACAGGCACCGAGCCCACTTGTACAATTATCTATTGAGCATACTCTATAGATAAACTACAGTTCTAGAAACAAAGATTAGTTAAACAGTGCCTGTTCTCAAGGAGTTTGTCCTCTAGTACAGAGTTGGTCAAGATACATACACAAGAACAAGGCCCAAAAGATGTGCTAACAGGTGCTAAAATAGGTCTTGGAGAAGGCAGTGGTTGGACTGGAACTTAAAGACAATGGGACTTCTGCTGGGCTAAGTTTTGGGAGAGATGCATAAGAACAAAAGAGACCAACTGGTTTCCTACATTGCTGGCCAGGTAAAATCTTAGAATCACGTTTAAAGACTTGGTACAGATGTTGAAGATTATTGGTCCAAATTCTCATTTAATTCAGGAATCCATTCTACTTGATGAAGAAGTCAGGAGGTAAAGAAATGTGTGTGACTACTGTAAAGAAACCGTGTTCCACAATAAAGCACATTGAATTTAGTGTATAGCATTGATTTCTTTTCTTTCTTTCTTTCTTTTTTTTAAATGAGAGACAGAGTTTTACTTTGTCACCCTTGGCAGGGTGCTGTGGCGTCACAGCCCAAGAAACCTCCAGATCCTGGGCTCAGCTGATTCTCCTGCCTCCGCCTCCCGAGCAGCTGGGACCACAGGTACCCACCACAACACCTGGCCCCCTTTTTGGTGCAGTTTGGCCTGGTCAGGTTCGAACCCACCACCCTCGGTATATGGGACCAGCGCCCTATTCACTGAGCCACAGGCACAGACCTAGATTTGCTTTCTATCTTGGTTTTGCCTGTGTCTTTTTTTAAAATAGACCCTCAAGCTGTCCCCCTGGGTAGTGTGCTGGCATCACAGCTCACAGCAACCTCCAACTCCTGGGCTCAAGTGAGTCTCCTGCCTCCGCCTCCCAAGTAGCTCCGACCACAGGCGCGCACCACAACGCCTGGCAATTTTTTGGTTGCAGCCACCATTGTTGTTTGGCAGGCCTAGGCTAGATTCGAATCCACCACCTTAGGTGTATGTGGCTGTCGCTTTAGGCACTTGAGCCACAGCCTGTACCTTTTATCAAGCTTCTTAACTTCTCTGAGAACTGGCATCTTCCTGTGTTCCAAGGCTTTTGCATACTATAATTAACATGTGAAAATTCTCAGCAAGCTTTAGAAACTATATTTATCTTCTTACTTTTCTGGACAATCGCTCTCCCCGACTCAGCTGAGCACTAGCCAGTTTGTAAAGTCATGCACGATCATCCACTTTACCCGCACACCCTACTGAGCCGCCTATTTGCTAGGTCATCTGCTCTCCAGAATGGGAACTCTCTGAGGAGTGTCTGACTGACTTCTGTGACCTCAGAACCTGACACAGTGCACAAGATAAAACAGTAGTGCAGCAGTTAAGAGCACTGGCCTTGAAAATAAGATCATTAGAGATTGAATCCTGGCCCTGCCTTGTACCGTGTGACTTTGGGCAAGAACCTTCCCTGGGTCTCAGGGTCTTCAACTGCAAAGTGGGGGTAATAATTATAACCACCGCATCAGCTGCAGAGAGGAGCTGAACAGGAGAGCATGCATTTAAAGTTCATGGCCCAATGCTTGACACACAAGAATTCAGTATAGTAAGTTACTATGACTAAGTTCTCTACATACGTCTGTTGCATAAAAAGTAGATAAGGCTGTAAATAACTGCACTCCTTGCCTAGAAAACTTTGCAGAGCCCGGAGATTGGACCTCAGCTATGTTAGCGCCACCCCTCCCCAACGCATTAACCTCCAGACAGGACAGGTGAGGGCGGGGCTCTCTCTCTGGGCCCCGGGGGGCGGAGTTTGGCGAGCGGGTCACGTGGGCTCTGGAGGCGGGGCTTCGCGTACGCTGGTCACGCGGGCTGATGTTGACACTTCCGGGTGGGACCAAAGTGAGGCGCAGGGGCTGTGGCTGGTGGCTTCCGCGGCAACCATGGCGTATCACGGCCTCACGGTGCCTCTTATTGTGATGAGCGTGTTCTGGGGTTTCGTCGGCTTCATTGTGCCTTGGTTTATCCCTAAGGGTCCTAATCGGGGGTAAGTGCGCGAGGCCCGCCTTGGGAGGGACGCGCGGTGAAGACCGGGCAGGCCTGGACCGGGAAGGGGGCGACCCCCGCGCTGGTCTAAGAACCTTGCAGGGGTGCACCTCTCACTCCAGGGTCGGGCCCCTGACCTCAAGAGCTCGGTGGCTTCTTTATCGCAGCAGCTTCAGTGTTCCCTCCCCATGCGTAAGGTGGGTGACCTTCGGGGGACCCTCTCTGCAATTGAGTTTTCGGGGAATTTTTTCTCCTCAAAGTCTTGGATGGGGAAGGTACGGTTAGAATTCAGGGGAAGTTGGAGTTCGTCCCTAGTCGACTTTAGCCCTTTGTGCACTGCTTTCCACTTATATGAGTCCTCATTCGCCTGAACTTTAAAGAAAGGGGTCTAATAAAACAGAAATTGCCCTCTCTGCCTCCCATGTTGTAGAGTTGCGTATACAATGAGCTTGTTCAACGACGTTAACCTTGCGTTGAGCCCAGGCCTTAGGTCTAATGGGCGCCAGGAGGTAGTTGGGGCCTGATCTAAAGCGAGATTAATTGCCAAAGAACAGGAGGTGTTGTTTAGAAACCCCTGCGTCATACCTTTTGGAGAGTGCTCCCTCTCTTGTCTGTGAGTGTAACAAGTGCTTAGAATGATGGGTAAGAAAGATTTCTTTTTTCAGACTTTTTATGTTGAAAGAGCTTTGTCCATTTTGGAAGTAAACTTCAACTGTAGTGTAAACTAGAGCTTTATCTTCAAAGGAGCTTTGGAACACCTTTCAGGTTCTCCTTTTTTGCCTCAGCTCAAGATCATGTGGAGGGAACAACTCAGACTGAAGTCAGAGTTTGTCGGAAACACCATCCCTTGCTTTATTCCTTGGAACTAATTGGTGGCTTCCTAATGCCTGGTTTCACAATACCCAGAATGCAGAGTAGGAACTCAGTATCTGTTAAGTGGACATTCTGTTGCTTTAAAGGAAAGACATTTAATTACTTCTTTAATATTTTGTAACCTGAGCCCTTTTCACTCCCTGAAATAGATTTGCTTTATTCTTGTTACTTCTATTAGCCTAAAAATAAATCATACTTTTTTTTTTTTTTTTGTAGTTTTTGGCCAGGGCTGGGTTTGAACACCTCCGGCATATGGGACAGGAGCCCTACCCTTTTGAGCCACAGGCGCCTCCCAATCATACATTTTTTTTTAAAAAGGAAAAATAGCACATGAATTTCTGTCATTTGTCAGCATCAGATCTCATCTCATTTATAACACCAGTTATACATGTGTAAGTCATCTCTTCAATCTATAATAGTTGATATATAGTGGTAGAATTCTGGGATTATTAAAACTGCATTTAGAGAACTATAGGGTGCATCTTTATTGTGTTTATATCTTCAATTTTTTGTTTCATTACTCTACCTTCTGTCTTTCTGGTCTTCATACTCAGAAAGCACTGATTAATGTGTTAGTAGCACTGACCCTTCCTTTTGTAAAGACTTTCCTCCCCCATCTGATGCCACTGTTATTTCCAGAGTAACAAAATCCCTCCTGTTTCTACTGAGTTTCTAGCCCAAGTGTCATGATTCAGGTATTTGACCTGCTAGTGATAATACAATTGTGTGTTGCTTAAGGAAATGGATATGATCTGAGAAATGGATTGTTAAGGTCTTTGTGTGAACGTCATAGAGTGTACTTATGCAGACCTAGATGGAATAGCCTATTGCACATGTAAGCTATGTGATTTAACCTATTGCTCCTAGGCTACAAACTGATATATCATGTTACCGTTTTATTTTATTTATTTATTTTGTTAGAGACAGAATCTCATTTTGTTGCCCTCGGTAGAGTGCTGTGGTGTCATAGCTCACAGCAACCTCCAGCTCCTGGGCTTAGACGATTCTCTTGCCTTAGCTTCCTGAGTAGCTGGAAATACAGGCGCATGCCACAACACTCGGCTATTTTTTGTAGCAGTTTGGCTGGGACTGGGTTTGAACCCACCACCCTCAGTATATGAGGCTGGCACCCTATTCACTGAGCCACAGGAGCCACCTCATGTTCCTGTTTCAAATCCTGTAGGCAGTTATAACACAGTTGGCAGTTGTGCATCTAAACATATCTAAACAGAAATGGTACAGAAACAAATATTACATAAAAGATAAAAAGTGTTACACCTGTATGAGGCCCTTACCAGGAATGGAACATGCAATACCAGAAGTTGCTCTGGGAGAGTGAGGGAGTGAGTGAGTGGTGAGTGAATGTGAAGGCCTAGGACATTACTGCTGTAGACTTTATTAACACTGCACACTTAAGCTATGGTAAATTTGTTTTTGAATTTTTTTATTCTTCAGTAATAAATTAACCTTAGTGTAGTATAACTTTTTACTTTTTTTTTTTTTTTTTTTTGGGGCAGAGCCTCAAGCTATCCCCCTGGGTAGAGTGCCATAGCATCACAGCTCACAGCAACGTCCAACTCCTGGGCTCAAGCGAGTCTCCTGCCTCAGCCTCCCAAGTAGCTGGGATTATAGGCTAGAGTGCTGTGGAGTCAGTCTAGCTCACAGCTACCTCAAACTTCTGGGCTCAAGTGATCCCCCTGTCTCACAGTCTACTAAGTAGCACCTACCACAACACCCAGCTAATTTTCCTATTTATAGTAGAGACTGGGTCTTGCTATGGCTCAGGCTGGTCTCCAACTCCTGAGCTTAAGGGATCTTCCTCCCTCCTTGGCCTCTTAGAGTTCTGGGATTACAGGCCTGAGCCCCTGTGATACTGGCCTAAAACTTTTTTTCTTGTTGCAGTTTTGGGCTGGGGCTGGGTTTGAACCCGCAACCTCTGGCATATGGGGCTGGTGCCCTAGTCCTTGAGCCATAGGTGCTGCCCTAAAACTTTTTTTCTTTCTTTTCTTTTTTTGATATAGTCTCTTACTCTGTAGCCCAGGCTAGAATGCTACCATGGTCTCAGCCTAGCTCTTAGCAACCTCAAACTCCTAGTCTCTAACAATCTTCTTATCTCAGCCTTTGGAGTAGCTACAACTATGAGTGTACCACCACACCCAGCTAATTTTTATATTTTTAGAAAAATAGCAAGACCAGTCTTGCTGTTTTTCAGACCGGTCTCCAACTTCAGATCTCAAGTGATCCTCCTGCCTTGGCTTCCCAGAATATGTTAGTATTATAGATATGAGTCACCATGCCTGGTCTCTCTCTGTCTCTTTTTTGAGATATTGTCATTATGGGCTAGAGTGCACTGGCATCATCCTAGCTTACTGCAGCCTTGAACTCCTAGGCTCAGGCGATCCTCTTGCTTCAGCCTCCTGAGTAGCTGGGACTACAGGTGGGTACCACCACACCAGGCTAATTTTTCTATTTTTTGTAGAGGCAGGGTCTCATTTTTACTCAGGTACTACTCAAGCTTCTGGCCTCTAGCAATCTTCCAGCAGAGGATGGCCTCTCATTTTTTTTTTT